GGTTAAACTCCCGCTTCCCACTCTAGGTTAAACTCCCGCTTCCCACTCTAGGTTAAACTCCCGCTTCCCACTCTAGATTAAACCCCCGCTTCCCACTCTAGATTAAACTCCCACTTCCTACCCTAGACTGCAGGGAGCCTTGATATAACGAGGGGCTGAATATTGTTGAGAAATTGATTTAATTGATATTAAATTAGGTCTCAATAGTTTTTTGGTGTTTTAAAAAAGGAGGGATATTAACTGGGTGAAGAAAGGAGGCAGCCTTGTCAGGGCTGAGGTCACACTGCTTCTACCAGACTATCTCCCTCTTCCTCTCACCTTAAGCTGGGCCTTATCCCCGATGATGTAGAGGTAGGCTTTCTGCTGCCGCAGGAATAACGGGTCGTTGGGTCCTCCATTGGGCTGCGGAGATTCTTTCCCAGCCAAACGCGTCCCGATGTCTGGGTTGTAGGCACTTAGACGGCTGCTGCCCCGGATACTGCCCCACTTCCCTGCAACGCGGACACAAACAGTCAGCTCTTCAAAGCAGTGGGGGGGTGGGCGCTGTGACCACACGCCTCAGGTCTCCCATGTGTTCCACAGCCTCTGCAAGATCGTTCTACTTTGCTGGAACAATCCATTTAATGTGGACGGCAGGTGGTCATCACTTCCACGGCTACCGACAGCCAAGCTGGCAAACAAGACAGTGAGCCGACTTTGCTAGATCTATCAGAGAGCTGACTGCAGAACCGCGGTTATTCAGCAGAGGGAAAAATCAAACAAACAAGACACCACACAATAAAACTGCAGCAGCGGCGGCGGCAGCATGCACACAATAAATCCCAAGCAACAATAAACCTTTAGTCCAAACAGACGTAACTTTCCCAAGAATGACATCACACTGAAGCTACTGTTAGACATCTGATTGGTTAGAGAGGAGAGCAAGAAGAGTGTGGGGGCGTGGCCTACTATACCTCTAGTAGAGCTTCTAGCTTTGCCAGAGACTTTGGGCTGAGAGAGGGAGGTGACTTTCCCCTTTTGACCAAGTGCTGAGGCCAAATGACAGAGACGGCTCGTTAACCAACAGCGTCACATGAGGAGGATGCTTAACTGCTTCACTCACAAACAGACTGATGCTAGATATGAGGGGGTGATCAGCCCTGATCAGCTTTGATGCCATCATCACGGCACATTAAGCAGCTCACCTCCTCTGCTGAAGGTTCCAGGGACGTCCTCCTTGCTTCCCAGGACCTGCTTCATCAGATCTCCAATCTTCGGCTGTCTGAGTTTATCAGAGGAATCTGCAGATGGAGAAAGTCACCAGTTAATTAGACGAGTCTGGTGGACCAGCAGCATGTGCTCCCAGTGTGTTCCTGCACTGACCGGAGGTGTTCATATGGGTGGAGGTGAAGCCGCTCAGAGTGTTCCTGCCTGTGCTCTCGCTGTAGGAGGGCATGGAGTTGATGATGGCTTGGAGGTATTTCTCCTGCTCCAGGCTGGTAGAGTCTGCCTGAGACGGGACTGATGGAGGTGAAGAGCAGATGGGAAAAGGTTAGAGCTGATCTATGGGATGGGTCTGACAGATTCCATCCCATAGGTCAGCCATCTTTGGTAGGTTCATTTCTAAATGGTCATTTTATTTCATTTTATTTATTTTTCCAGTGTGTGGTGCCCGGGGAGCAGCGTGGGGTTAAGGGTCTTTGCTCAGGGACCATGGAAGTGGGGCTTGAACTCAGAACCTCTGGTTTCCAAGTGCGACGCCCTAACCACTAGGCCACCACTAGTGGATAAGCAAGCCAAAGCATGAGCATGAAGGGTATTGCCTAGGGATCCACACTGGCAGCTCGAATACAAACCCAGGCTTCCTGTCAGCAGGAAGTTATGACTAATCACTTGAGCTAGTCAGCCGCTGGCTGGTATATCTAACAGGCTTTCCTCTGGGACCTCCTGGAGTCCCCAATAAACAACAGTTCGGTGTGTACTGGGGCAGTTTGCGGTCGAGTGTGAAGCATCCGGGATGATGAACAGCACCTCCAAATCCAAGGCCATGGTTCTCCACCGGAGAAGGTGGAATCCCCTCTTCAGATCGGGTGAGGAGCTCAGTTACCCGGGAGGAGCTCGGAGTAGAGTCTTTGCTCCTCCATGTTGAAAGGAGCCAGCTGAAGTGGCGGAGGCAGTTTAGGGAGGTGTTCCAGGCATGTCCTATGGGAGGAGGCCTGGTGGAAGGCCCAGGACACGCTGGAGGGACTATGTCTCCGAGCTTGACTAGTGTTACCTCGGGTCCCCCCCACAGCCGCTGGAGGGGGTGTGTGTGGATTGGGAAGTCTGGGCATCTCTGCTTAGACTGCTGCCTCCGCTACCCGGCCACGGATAAAGAGGAAGAAAATAGATGATAAACATCCATCCATCCATCTGGCTTATCCCAAGCGGGGTGGCGAGGGGTGCTGGTGTCTACCTCCAGCTTTCTACAGGCGAGAGGCGGGGTCCACCCTGGACAGGTCTCCAGTCCATCGCAGGGCAACACAGAGACAAACAGGACAAACAAGCATCCACACACACACCTAAGGAGAATTTAGAGAAGCCAATTAACCTAACAATCATGTTTTTGGACTGTGGGAGGAAGCTGGAGTACCCGGAGAGAACCCACGCATGCTCAGGGAGAACATGATAACTCCATGCAGAAAGACCCCGGGCCAGGGGGTGCTACCCACTGCTCCACTGCGCTGTGGGAGCAGGATAATTAAAAATAAAAATGTCCTAAAATGAGTGTTTGCCCTTAACTACAGCAATTAAATAAATCTACCAACTAATGAGTATTTCAGCTCTTTTATACTGCATGTGGAATGACTTTATGGAAATTATTTTAATCCATTAGTATATCATATTATTAAACATTCTCCAACTTTACCAAAAAGTGTACTTTTACTCCCTAGTTTTCATTCAATCGTGACACGAGGTGCCATCTTTGGTAGCGCTGTTAGGCCATTTATCCTTTTGAAGCTGCAATCAGACCTGAATTTGGCCAAAAACCCCACAAATAATCCTGATAGATCTGACAGTCAGAGAATGTGTGACCTGTGCGTATCAGCTAACTCCTCCTGTAAAGGTTTAGGATGATAAAGAACAGCAATAAGAAGCTGTCAGATCCCCCTGCAGGCGGTCATCCTGACATAAACCTGCTACCTGCAGTCGTGGTGTTGGGGGACTTGAAGAAGCTGACCACCCCCTTGGCGTGGAGCCCTGCCGAGCGCAGCAGGACGGCCTTGGTTCGGGAATGTCTCCAGCAGACCACGGGGAAGCGGTTCTGTCGGTAGCAGCGGCAGATCCGATGGATGGTGGAGTCTGGGATGTTCTGGGGGATGATCAGCAGGCCGGGGTAGCTGGAACAGAAGGGCAGCTGGTTGGATTTGGACTCTATGCTCAGGTCTCTTAGAACTTGTTCCTAACAAATGTTCCTAACAGAGCACTTCGCTCTCAATCTGCAGGTTTACTAGTGGTTCCTAGAATTTCTAAAAGTAGAATGGGAGGCAGATCTTTTAGTTTTCAGGCTCCTCTCCTGTGGAACCAACTACCAGTTTTAGTCCGTGAGGCAGACACACTTTGTGATGCTTAAAATGTTTTGTAGTTTGACTGTAGCCTAACTTATTGTCAATAAAAGGTTTTTATTTTAGACTGCCTAAAATATGTTGCCTACAATATAAAATGATTCATAAACTAAAGCAGATCTTAGATTTCTCCTGATGACAAACAGGAAGTGAAGGCAAAGTAAATTCCTCCAGATAAAACAACGCTTTACCTCCTGCAAACGGTGTACATGCGATTGGCTGTGGAGATCCTGAACGGCTCGTTCTTAGATCGCGTCAGACTGTTGCTGAGCGTGCCCAAACCCAGGCGCTGGTAGTCACGGCAACAGGCACGCTCTACCACGTTGCTCATAGTCTGTCTGTCCGAGGAGCGGATGGTGGAGGACAGGGTCATGGTGGTTTGATCCACCTCCTCTGAGACTGTGGAAGGGATTTGGTCAAACTTTAGAACTTTAGGGACCAGAAAAAGGGTTGGAGGAAAATGTTCCTGTAAAGAACCAGTTACCTGATATTTCATCTTCATCCAGCTCAGACTGGAAGCTGCTCCTGTTCTCCCAGGATGGCGGAGACTCCTTCTTCCTGGTGACGTACTGTCGACTGATGGTCCTCTTTGCATTCTTCACCAGGTTCTTGGAAAGTGTCCTGAAGGCGATAATGACAGATAAACAGTTTGTACCCTGAGCTCCATGGTGTTTAGCTGAGGAGGAGGAAAACCAGTGGATGGAAAGAGTCTCACCTTAAGGACTGATTCTTGTCCTTGGTTTTGGGCTCCAACACCAGCTTGCCGCTCTGCCCCACTGTGAAAGCAAAGGTTCCCTGGACGTGCTGAGGAAAGCGCAGCTTATGGAGGTGTTTCCTGAAACTCTCAGCCAGGTCTGATGCCACTTCCTCATCAAAGGCGATCTTCATAAGCTGCAGGCAGCACGGGCAGAGAAGGACCTCACATTATTGGTGGATTAGAGCATCAGCGTGAAAAGGGGGTCATAGGTTGGAGAGGCAAGAACCTGGAAGGTGCAGGATCGGAGCTGGAGGCCCTCCTGGACAAACTGGTCCATGGGTAATGTGACGGAGATCCTCTTCTCCTTGGTCAGAGACGCGACGGGAAATGAGCGAGTCACAATCTGTTCCCCTACTGAAGGAAAACACGCCGCTTTAGAGGAGAACACAGATAAAAACCCCAGAGAGGCTCCGATCATCATCATGGTTTCCTCACCCAATGCATCACTCGGCGTTCCTTTGAAGATTAGCCGGTAGGTGGTGAGAAAGATGGCGCCCTCTGCAGGAAGAAGGGGGGGGCCTCCCATATGCCCCGTGGCCTCCTCACGGCCATCGGGGATGAGGTGGACCCGCATGCCGTCCATCACCAGCTCCTCACCGGGCAGCAGAGTCGGCCTTAGCAGCTTGGGCTGCAGATGAAGATGAAAGGAGAGAAAGCATCCATTATTCCTATGAGGGAAACTGATGAAACAAAGCTGGATGTTCGTTCTAGATTCCAACTTAAACTGCTCAAATCAAAGAACAAAGCTGGAGGGATCGTTTCTGGAATTTAAACACTCCAAAAATCAACGGCATGCTTTCAGAATCATGACAGACTTTACACGCAAGAAAAACCAGAGGACCAAGAACCTGACCTAATTAGATCCCTGCTCAGCTGCTCTCCCATCATTCAGGCTGATTACAAAGCTGCAAACCGAAGAGAATCCACCTGTTTGTACTTTAATCTAAGTCTAAATCCAGGGTAAGGCCTGATTAGGCACACAGCAGACCTAAAGCAGAAGGTGATCCAATGATAACCGGTTGGTGTCATGATCACCGTCTGCTGATGGTTCAGATCCTTTATCGCAGTAATGATCCGTTATAATTCTTCTGTATGAGCTACTCTTGGATTTCCATCTTCTCAAACTGCCACTAACCAAAGTTCTGCTTGTTTTATCTGAAAAACCTTCAGCTGCTTCACTTCTGATGGAGCAGAAAACCTCTGAACCCTGCAGGACACACCAGGACGCTGCAGCACGCAGCAGGACGCAGCAGGACGCTGCAGTACGCTGCACAGCTGGATGATCCAGTCTGACCTCTGCCCTCCAACACTCACATGCATGAACCCTTCAGCATGAAGGCACTCAGAATGAGCCGTCCCCACTGAGGCATGCTGGGAACCACGGCTCTCCATCCGTACCTGCTGTGACAAGGCAGGCCTGAGCTGAAGGGATTGGTGGAGAGGGGAGTGGGCGGGGCCGGCTGGGGGTCTGCATGGCCTTTTTCCAGTGGCAGGTAGAAGCAGGAATTGTTTACCTTTTGGATGGGAGGCAGCCTCTTACTCTCCCTGTGGACGGCGTCCAGCGTCTCGATGTGCATCTGAACGATATCTGCAGAGACACGGCCACACATCAAGCTCCCCGCCACGCTGCTGTTCCCCGACAGTTCAGCCAAACCTGGACTGTACCTGGGATCATGGCGTGGAGCGCCTTCAGGTGCTCGTTGGTCACGCCACTCTCGTTGCACACCTTGTCTACAAAGCGGTTGATGAAGCGAACCACTGAGTTGGCCACGTCGGAGCTCTCTGCGTCTTCAAAGCCGCTCTCTGTGTCATAGCTCTCCGCCATGCTGCCTGCGATACTGCAGGAGGAAAAAACGTTTGAATATAATCTAATGATATAATCTCAGGGATCCCTGGAGGTCGGGTACCTGTTGGTGACGTAGCTGTTGCTGACGCTCTCCACGTCTCCGAGGCCAGCGCTCCTCAGCAGGCGGTTCTTGCTGGTGTCCAGCGGCAGCAGCAGGTAGCTCATCCTGTTGGCGTAATGGATGGCCTGGCTGAACACCGTGCTCTCTTCTTTCTGCACGCGCTCTGTCTGCATCTCTTTGCTGAGGGTCGGCCACAGCCGGTTTTGTTCTGCTGCCAGCTCCAATGCGCTGACTTCCCTTTCGGTAGCACACCAATCCTGCTGGTCCAGCTGACGGATCAATAGAGCAGAAAAAGCAGGAATCAGTGACCAGAAGCTGAACATCACCGATGAAAGACGTAGAGATGGGGGAGGAGCTTCTCACCGAGTTGTTCTGCTGCTCTCCATCATCTGCCTCCATGTACAGAGCTCTAATGTGGTTCTGAACATCGCTGTAGAACATGGCCTCCCAGAACTGCATGTTGGTCCACACCGTATGTTCTTGGACGCAACTGTAGGCAAACTGCGTGATGCCTGCACCCAGTTTCTGTGTGATGAGAAAACGGCTCGTTTAGAAGGAGCAGAGAAGGAGGAGCAGCTACAGCGTCCCCGGAGCCGCTCTCACACCAAGAATGGAAACCAGTAAAGTCTGATGGAGGAATGTAGAGACGCTGGTTGGTAACTTACTCTGCAGAAAGCGGTGACCAGAGGGAGCAGAGCGGCTGCTGTGCCGTGTTCATCCATATGGGAACAGTCCTACAAACAGACAGAAGAAGAAGAGAAAACACTCAGCTGCTGATCTGGGCACCAACAGTGGATCAGAGCATCAGCAGGATCAGCGTTGCATGTTGCTCACCTGTAAAGTGCAGTTCATCATGCGAACGATGTAGTCAAACTGCTGGTCATCCAGCACAGCCCGGTTCTGGAGAACATGTTGGTTCAGCTCCTGGGTCAAACAAACCCGAGCTGTGCGACCTTTTAACGCCCGCAGCACAGCTGGCATCAGCTGCACAGAGAAACCACAATCAGAACGAGAAGCGCATTTCTGAGCGCCGCCACATCTGCCTCCATGATTGGCAGGTGTGGCGCTTTGGTACTCAATCAGATGGTGTTAACCTTAACATTACATCAACATGCGCTGTAATGCTAAGGTTTGTCCACCAGGTGGCACAACTCCTCCGCGAATCAGAATGAAAAATGCAATGAACCACAAATCACAGTGCTGACCGTTAATGTTAGGGTTAGGAGCAGCTCTCAGGGGAGAAGACAAACCCAAGGTTTAGGCATTTACTGATTAGGTGAATTTTAAGAGAATTTTATTTTTGTTTTGATTGTCAAGGAAACAAAAAAACATCTATAAACAGAAATGAAAAGCTTAAAATTAGAATATAAATTCCATCCATCCATTTTCTTGACATGCTTAATCCCAAGCGGGGTCACGAGGGATTCTGGTGCATTTCTCCAGCTGTCTACGGGCGAGAGGCGGGGTCCACCCTGGACAGGTCGCCAGTAATTCGCAGAGAATATAAGTTAAAACTTATAAATAAAAGAATTTACCAAAGAGCATGAAAAAATGTGTCTGAATTAAATTTCTGCTTTGCATTTTAAAAACGTTGGTACCCCACAGCTGCAGAGAGGTTTGACTGTTTCCCTCCGTATCTAAACAGAGTTACTAAGTCAGCCTTTTATCACCTGAAGGAACATCTCCAGGATTTAAGGACTAGTGTAGAAACGCGATCTACAAAAACTCATCCATGCATTGATCACTGCAACAGTGTCTTCATAGGTTTTTTAATAATCCTAGAGGGAACAGAAAACCTTGCCTTTTCAGCCAGGCCAACAATTCCCTTTAATGACTCCCCTTTCAGAGACAGGTATGGGGCATTGCAGGCTAACAAAGAAGCCAAACCACCCCCATTCCAAAGGGGTGGACCCATTCGTCCGTTTCAATTTGCATGTTTTCTAAACAAAAACAAGGCTTTTTTTTGGTCCACTCTATAAAGCCTCAAACTCAACACTATTTCTGACATTTTAAATTGAAAAAGCTTCCTGGATGGAAGAGAAACGTCTTCAAACTTGGAAACAAAGTCCCTTGGATTTTTTTTTTTTTTTTTTTTTTTTTACTTTTTTGTTGTAATTTTGTATTATATACCCCTGGAATATTAATGGAAAGTTGAGTGGAAGGAAAGGTGCTTAATAAAAAGCTGAAGAGGAGACAGGGATGACTGCAGCCTTCAGAGGCATGAATGATGAACTGCTTTAACATCCTGAAACAGTCAGCCAATCAGAGTCTCTGCCTTTGTCTCAGAGCTCCAAAGTCGGTTTTCAAGTTAAAGGGAATTTTTAATGAACAAGACTGCATATGCCTCAACTTCATTAACCTTAGTTTTGCTACATCGACATTTCTATATAAAAACTGATTTTGTTGGGTCATAAACTCATTTTATTTTAATTGGTTCTTGTTACCAATTGAATTCAATTCAGTTCTTTCTAACTTTCAGTATTTCTATTGCACATGACATAACATGTCACCTCAGGTCACTTTACAGGGACAATTCAACCAGATCATAATTTCTATTTAAGGAAAAGAAGCTGATTGCATCGACACAGTGGC